CTTATTGTCCCAAAAAACAAAAAAAAAAGGAGGGGGGGGGGGGCGCAAAAAGGCAAAAGAACCTGAAACGAATTTGTCACCGATTGGAAGATTATTCTCGTACGTTTGTTGGTATTCAGAGGCTTTGTACCCAAGTGACTAATTAAACAGGCAAATGCTTGTGACAGGTGCATTCTTTTTTTGTCGGTAGTCCCCTTTCAGTCGTCCATCCCTTTGTTTATTTCTGCATGCGTGCGATTAACGCTGACCTTTTCGAAGTGTGACAATGTGCGGGACATGCAAGGGGGGAAGAAACAAAGCTGAAAAAAAGAAAGAAAAGAAAAAAAAGGAAAAAAAGGAAAAAAAGAAAAAAAGAAAAAAAGAAAAAAGGAAAAAAAAAGAATGAAAAATGAAAAAAAAAAAAACGAGAAGGGAGGAAGGAAGGAAAAAAATCTCCTGTTGAGCGGACGACGCTATTCGCTTGCCTGTTGATATTCAGGGGCTTTATTTGCACGTGTTTTTTTGAGGAATCTGAAAAAGACAAAAATCAAGGCCAAAGCCATAGACGGGCCAAAGAAAAAATGAAAAAAGGAAAAAGAAAAAAGGAAAAAAGGAAAAGAGGTGCGTGTGATGAACGGACGACGGTCCTTATTATTATATATATACATATATGTGTATATATATTTTTCGTTTGTCTTTTTGGAGCTGGGCCGAAGAATCCGTCCACTCTCCTCTACTTCGTGTGCGTGCGCATCGTACCTTCGTGCGGTTCGATATGCTCTTGGTTTAGAGTACTGGGTAATAACCCCTCATGCCCATAACCGTGGGCGAGCGCCGAGAGGTTGCCCTTCATAAGTTCCTCGGATTTACAGGCGATTGCGTCCTGCAGTTATTTACAAGGCACAAGGGATTATTTATTTGTTTCTTTCTTCTTTTCTTTTTCTCTTTTTTCCTTTTTCTTCTTTTTTGTGGCTTCGCATGTTCCTCTTCCCGCAAGTTGTCTTCTCCCGTATATCCAGCTGCTCCGCTAATCCCTGTATGCGCGCGCGTGTGTGTGTGTGTGTGTGTGTGTGTGTGTGTGTGTGTGTATGTGTGTGTGTGTGTGTGTGTGTGTGTGTGTGTGTGTGTGTGTGTGTGTCCCGCCCGCTGTCACACCGGTTAAACGGGCCAGGGAACGGAAGATCTGATGCCAAAGGGCGTCAGGCCTTCCGGCCCTGGCCCCCCGGTCACCACAGCACACCTCACACATACATACAACACAGTTAGCACATATGGAATCGTGCAATCAAGATAGTCCTTACCATGTCACTCTTGACGCGTGTGGGTTGGTATCTCGATCTGTTGAAAAAAACTCCGTCTATGATTTTCCAGCATTCCTTCCTGCCAAACCTGTTAGCAACCATATCCTGGACTAAAGAATGGTTTTCATATGCGGCTTCCTGTTCGTCTGAGCATAGTAAAAGGACAAGTACGGTTTGTGCGGTCAGGATCTGCAACGACTGTGAGATGCTTCAGTTGGACTTAAATTTCATAAATTTGACGGGGTTGAAATTGAGTCCTCTCTTCTTGTTGTGCTTGGAAGTGGCGAAAGTGCCATCGGAGGGTGATATGACCGAGATAGTGAGGTTTAGGAAGTTCGCGACCAATCCATGATTATCCTCCTTGACTGCAGTGGTTTCCTTTATTTCGATGCATTCGTGCGGGTAGATTTTCCTTTCTGGACACTGGCCAAGCACCCCGTCTTTGAGAAAGTCCGCGATGACCATGTTGTTCAATGAACAGAGGTCATCGATATACCTGTAGGTTTCCTCAAAGCACTTGAGCGCCTGCCATTCCTAATTATCGACTAGGTGTGCAATTAATTGAAATTCGTATTTAAAGAAATACATATCACAGAGGATGGGAGAACATGACTACCCCATGGGGATGCCAAGAACCTGTCTCCAAACCCTGTTCCCCTTTTGTACCACTGCGTTGGACACTAGCCATTCGCAGGTGTTGATGATCTCATTCTCGTTGAAGTACAGTTCGTCGAACTGTCTCTCCTGCTGCCCATCGACCAAGTGCGGATACAGTGAACCGCAGGCAGAGACCGTAATCGCAATCACGTCCCTCGTAGTTCTGGCTCTTCTCCGTTCCATCGCGCATTCGACGAAAAACTTGATTGCAGCGATTAGTCCATCGTCCGAGTTGTCCGTCGGGGTCTTCTCGAAGCACCTGGTAATGTCCGCCGTGAAGACGGAGTATACATGCCGAGGGAGATTGGCGATGAGTTCGCCAATTGATGTGATCGGGCCACCAGTAGTTGGGTCTGGCCCTGTGCATGGTAAAGACCTCATCGCTCTTTTCCTCGCAGAGCGCCTGTACATCGACCGCAAGGAACTTCAGGAGGCATGCGCAGACGTCCGCAACGGGTGAGAGCATTGATCCTGCAGTGTTGGTGATCCACCTAAACGTCTCCTTATGCGCCTTGTACACGACCATGAGGTGCGGTAGGGGAAGGGGTTCCTCCTCATTCCTGACTGGTGTGAACGCACTGACCTGCTCCTCGAGCTGGCTGCCGAGTACTGCGGGTGATTGCTGGAGTGGAACGAAGTCTGGGCCGGATAGCCTCTCTAGTGCCAATCTTCGTATGAAGTTGATACACACGAACGTCGGAGTATGCGGCGCCTTATCCGTTGGACAGACGAGGAACCTTCCGGTTAGCCAGCCAATCTCGCTTTTAAATGGAACGTTGTTGATGGGTTCCTCCTTGATGTGCCTATGCTATGTATGATACTACCTGATGGCAGTCCTTGCTTTCTCCATCACGTAGTTCTTCACGATCTTCTCCTCCTTCATCGAGAGTTCTTCGTCGCAGACCCTTGTAGTCAGAATGTGGCTAAGCGCCTCTTCAATTTCACAAAGGGCGAACTCTTCATCCAACGCCCTCATAGGTATGTTGTTTAGTCCAGCGTTCATCATGAGTTGCAGCTGGCCGTTGTTCATGACTCCAGTGTCCGTGGTTATGATGTGCATCACTCTTTCTGTCGGAAGCAATCTTATCGCGGCAGGATTCAAAAAAACTGCATGCCTGCCTGCTCCGCACGTGCAGCTGTTCGGATTGTAGCTCACCTCCCACTCCGCAAGCTTGAACTTGCGGAAGACTCTGCCAGGTTTGCATATCTTGGCGGCAATCGGCTCGTCATACTTCCACCCGATGACCACCTCGTCCAGCCAATTCTTGGACTTCTCCCCCATAACCTGTCCCAATCCCTCGATCACGAACCGCCTCAGCAGCACACCTTCCATGAGTCTGCTCGAATACCTGATGTGTACGAACTCCCTCTTCTCCTTCTTCGCCTTTCTCCATGCGAGTCTCCCGGAGGGTAGTTGAATCATCAGGCAACCTTCCTCCTGCTCGAAGCCCTCATCCTGCGCACTGAACAAAACTCCATCGAAGAATTCAACAGGCTCGTAAATCGGCCAGTAATCCAAGCGGGGGAGCGTTTAGGGAGATCTCACCTTCAGACCGGGAAAAAGGGAGGAAGGGAGAAGGAAAAAAGAAAAAAGAAAAAAAAGAAAAGAAAAAAAAAGGAGGAAAAAAAGGAGAAGAGAGAAAAAGCAAAAAAAAAGAAAACCGAGAAAAAATGTAAGATTAAGAACCGATGTGCGACGGCCCGGGTTAAGCGCTTACAGGGCAGGCGCGTATGGTCGGGCCTCGTGGGGATTGGATAGAGCCTCTTTTCTCTTTCTTGTTGCTGGTGCCCGCTTTTTTCTTCCCTCTGGCGCTGGCTGATGCGCTGGTCGTTACCGCAGAACTACCTTGTGAAGGTAATTGTTTCCCATTCCCAGTGCCTTGCGTGTTAACTCCGTGTGACCTAACTGGACCTTGGTTGAGTTCGGCGTCACCATCGTGTGTGGCTGCTTCCCTGAACCAGATGCCTCACTGCTGGAGTTGCGGCGGGGGATCCTGCACTGCTCCTCTCCGAGCAGCCGTGCTCTGCGAGGGGGGTTGCGGCGGAGGATCCATGGCTTGAGGCATCTGTTGCCTGGGGTCGAGCGCGAAGGGGAGTACTCGCTGCCTGGGTGAGATGACGAGCGGTGGTTTCCCGCATTGCCTCTTGTTCGCCTCGTCTCCGGGCGAGCTCCTGGCCCTGACTCTGGGGTTGCCAGTCACTCGAGTGGGTAGAAGTACTCTGCCGATAGTGAGTGGAGTGTTGTACTTCCACTTGGTTCTGTCGACCGCAATTTCGGCTGTGAGGGAAGGGTCACGTTCGATCGCAGAGATGACATCGGTCATAGCCTCCCTGATAAACGTGAAGGTGACGCAAGCCTCGATGGCTTCTTTCCATGACACCTTGAAAAAGTGAATGAACATGGAGATCTTCACTTTCACTGAAGCAACGTTGGGAAATAAAACATCGGGGTGAGCGAGGAGGTACCATATGGCGTGATCGACCTTGATGGGTCCGTTACCGCAGTCTTTCTTCCTTGTGAGATGCACTGACATCTGAGGTAAGGTCGCCCGACGTTCCAGCATTTCTGTAGCCCCTTGAGATCAACCTCTGGAGCGGATCTGATTTTCTTCTGCCACATGGCAGGGGTGGTGAGTTCACATTTCGATGGATCAAGCAGCGAAAGGATGGAAAATTTCAGGAGGGTTGGTTTAAACGATTTATTACCTGGCGGGCAGTACGGTAGATCGCCGGTCATTGGGTTGGCTTTGCATTTGGCCACCTCTTCCTTCGGTAAGTTAGCAAGGAATACGAGAGCGTTTATTGAAAACGGGGCGAGATAGTTAAACTTGTCAAGCTTCCAGAGTGCATGCCTGAAACCGCCCCCGGTGTGCTCTGTCCAGTGTGAGGAGGGGAGGGGTGCAAACACTGCAAAGGCGGTGTACTGCGTCCCTTGGGAGGACACGGTCGTCGGCGGGCTCCAACTGTTACTGGCGGTCATGGCAGCGATGGCGGCTCTCATTTCGGCCATTTCATCGTCGTCCATCGCCATGGCGTCAGTAATAGTGCAGTCCGCCTGTGGCTTTTCACACGTTTGCCTCTGGAGGTGGGAGTGATCTAACCCCCAGATTTTCAAAAATAGTTGCTCGACCTTGGCGATCCTGGTGGGCAACTCGACGCATTCCCGTCCATATTCTATCTTCCTGCTTTCTAGTTCCCTTGCTAACCCCAAAAGCTTCGCATCGAAGGCGTCCTTGCTCTTATCCTAAGCTGAGGCAAGTTTCGCAAGATCGTTGAAGCCGATCATGCCGAAGAAATTAGGAAACCGTTCAGTCTCGACCATCTTTTTCATTGCCTCCAGGATCTCCGGTTTCATGGTGGCGATTAGTGCTTGCGCCGGCTTGCTGGGCCAGGCATGGTCCTTAAGCCAGGTATGTTTGCCCGTGATCTCATCCCACCAGCCACCAGGAAAGAGCTCCGTCTGCGGTACCTGCAAAATGAGAGGCAACCAACAGGACTAAAGCATACGCAAGAAGGGAGAGGTTTTTTTTTTTGTCAAACTGAGGGTAGTTAATCTTCATCTCAAAGCTTATTCGCGTGTAAGCTGGATTCACCGACATTATCCTTAATATCCTTATCTGTGCGAAGTTTGATTTCATAGGAAGCCACCCATGCCTTCCTCGCCTGAATATACATACGAACAGGGATACGGTTGGTGGGACACACCACCAACAGCGCTGACGGGGGGATTCCCCCACGTAGTTGTGTGTTTACGTTTCGTCATGTGAAAAAACATCATGTCGAAGTGTGGTATGGTACTCATACCACGATCAAGCCCCGAAATAATGCCTCGGCGCATCCCTATAAAACTTGTCAGGCGGACACAGGATTTACTCACGCCCTTCCTTCTCCGACTATTGAGGAAATTCCCGGGATTGTCATGGTGATTCCGTCTAGCACACCGCAAGCAATCACGGCCAAGAGGTAATTTTTGCGAGAAGTAGGGATGTTTTCACACATGAGTGAAACAGAAAAAAGGAAGAAAAACAACGGAAGAAAAAATAAAAAAGAAAAAAGAAAAAAGAAACAAGAAACGAAAGATCGAAAAGGACAGACAAAGGAAAATAGTAAGGCAGGCAAAAAGGTTTACGTAGTGGATCGAGTTCTTAAAGGATGGAAAACCCGACCGTAGCTGTTCCTAATGTGTCTGTCACAGGCTCAGGTCGTGTTTGGGTTGGATCATATTTGTGATCCTGCCTGTGAAGGAGAGAGTGAAAGACACTACGGGCGATGATTTGAGCATCGAATTACCGAGGGCAGGGCGTGGGGTATATACGTGCGTGTTCCTGCATATATATACTCACATATCTAAATACGCATCCATGTCATGCGATATGTAATAAGGGATAGAAGCCATGTGCATTTCGTCCATGGAAGGGATCGATGCAGCTAGCTTTGTTCCATCGCTATCCTTGGTTTGGATTGCTTTCCCTAAGAAGGTCTATGAGTGATGATGGATGGGAAGGCAAATATGGGCTGAAGCTCGAGAACGAGCATGGGTCGCATGAGGCAGCGTGATCGCGTAGCCCTGATGCTGCGTCTGCCTGTGGATGACTCCTAAGAAAAAGTGGAAGAACGGAAATGAATGGGAAAATCCCATGAGCATCCTTATTCGGGTATCGGTAGTTTTGAGGCATTACGAGCAGGTTATCATGAACCTATCAGGGTCCGTGTAGGGTTATCGGGACAGTCTTCTGCATGCAGTTTATAAGGGGGGAAGCGATGGGAAGCGAACAAAAGGAACAAGGAGGAAAGATTTCAGAAAGTAATCGACTGGAGAGAAAAAAAGGGGGGGGGGGAAAGGAAAAAAGCCAAGAAAGATCTGACAGCAGTTGTTCCCAATATGTCAATCGCAGGCTTAAGCCGTGCTTGGGTTGGATCATATTTGCGATCCTACCTACGAAGGGGAGAATGACAGAAACCATAATCGGTGATTAGAGCATCGAATTACCGAGGGCAGGGTATAGGGTGCATACGTGTGTATTCATATAATATTATGCGTACATATACATATGCATCTGAGCACGCATCTGTGTAACCCGAAGCATAACGAGGGATAGTAGCTATGCGTATCTCGCCCGCGGACGGTATTAATGCATCTAGCTGCATTCCATCGTTATCTTCGGTCTAGATTGCTTTTCCAAGGGAGGTTTGCAAGTGATGGTGGTCGGGAAGGAAGATATAGATTGCATCTCGAGAACGAACATGGGTAGCATGAGGCAGCGTGATCACGTTGCCCAGATGTTGCAGCTGCTCGTAGACGACTTCTAAGAAACAAGAAAGAAAAGAAAAAAGAAAAAAAAAAAAAA